CTGTGTGTATGGAACTGTCAAGAATGAAGAGATATGTTGTACTGTGTGTATGGAACTGTCACGAATGAAGAGATATGTTGTACTGTGTGTATGGAACTGTCAAGAATGAAGAGATATGTTGTACTGTGTGTATGGAACTGTCAAGAATGAAGAGATATGTTGTACTGTGTGTATGGAACTGTCAAGAATGAAGAGATATGTTGACCTGTGTGTATGGAACTGTCAGGAATGAAGAGATATGTTGTACTGTGTGTATGGAACTGTCAAGAATGAAGAGATATGTTGTACTGTGTGTATGGAACTGTCAAGAATGAAGAGATATGTTATACTGTGTGTATGGAACTGTCAAGAATGAAGAGATATGTTGTACTGTGTGTATGGAACTGTCAAGAATGAAGAGATATGTTGTACTGTGTGTATGGAACTGTCAGGAATGAAGAGATATGTTGTACTGTGTCTATGGAACATCCAAGAATGAAGAGATATGTTGTACTGTGTGTATGGAACTGTCAAGAATGAAGAGATATGTTGTACTGTGTGTATGGAACTGTCAAGAATGAAGAGATATGTTGTACTGTGTGTATGGAACTGTCAAGAATGAAGAGATATGTTGTACTGTGTCTATGGAACATACAAGAATGAAGAGATATGTTGTACTGTGTGTATGGAACTGTCAGGAATGAAGAGATATGTTGTACTGTGTGTATGGAACTGTCAGGAATGAAGAGATATGTTGTACTGTGTGTATGGAACTGTCAAGAATGTAGAGATATGTTGTACTGTGTCTATGGAACTGTCAAGAATGAAGAGATATGGTGTACTGTGTGTATGGAACTGTCCAGAATGTAGAGATATGTTGTACTGTGTGTATGGAACTGTCAAGAATGAAGAGATATGTTGTACTGTGTGTATGGAACTGTCAAGAATGAAGAGATATGTTGTACTGTGTGTATGGAACTGTCAAGAATGAAGAGATATGTTGTACTGTGTGTATGGAACATCCAAGAATGAAGAGATATGTTGTACTGTGTGTATGGAACTGTCAAGAATGAAGAGATATGTTGTACTGTGTGTATGGAACTGTCAAGAATGAAGAGATATGTTGTACTGTGTGTATGGAACTGTCAAGAATGAAGAGATATGTTGTACTGTGTGTATGGAACTGTCAAGAATGAAGAGATATGTTGTACTGTGTGTATGGAACATCCAAGAATGAAGAGATATGTTGTACTGTGTGTATGGAACTGTCAAGAATGAAGAGATATGTTGTACTGTGTGTATGGAACTGTCAGGAATGAAGAGATATGTTGTACTGTGTGTATGGAACTGTCAGGAATGAAGAGATATGTTGTACTGTGTGTATGGAACTGTCAAGAATGAAGAGATATGTTGTACTGTGTGTATGGAACTGTCAAGAATGAAGAGATATGTTGTACTGTGTGTATGGAACTGTCAGGAATGAAGAGATATGTTGTACTGTGTGTATGGAACTGTCAAGAATGAAGAGATATGTTGTACTGTGTGTATGGAACAAGAATGAAGAGATATGTTGTACTGTGTGAATGAAGAGATATGTTGTACTGTGTGTATGGAATGAAGAGATATGTTGTACTGTGTGTATGGAACTGTCCAGAATGAAGAGATATGTTGTACTGTGTGTATGGAACTGTCAAGAATGAAGAGATATGTTGTACTGTGTGTATGGAACTGTCAGGAATGAAGAGATATGTTGTACTGTGTGTATGGAACTGTCAAGAATGAAGAGATATGTTGTACTGTGTGTATGGAACTGTCAAGAATGAAGAGATATGTTGTACTGTGTGTCTATGGAACATGTCAAGAATGAAGAGATATGTTGTACTGTGTGTATGGAACTGTCAGGAATGAAGAGATATGTTGTACTGTGTGTATGGAACTGTCAAGAATGATAGACTGTGATATGTTGTACTGTGTGTATGGAACTGTCAAGAATGAAGAGATATGTTGTACTGTGTGTATGGAACTGTCAAGAATGAAGAGATATGTTGTACTGTGTGTATGGAACTGTCAAGAATGAAGAGATATGTTGTACTGTGTGTATGGAACATCAAAGAATGAAGAGATATGTTGTACTGTGTGTATGGAACTGTCAAGAATGAAGAGATATGTTGTACTGTGTCTATGGAACTGTCAAGAATGAAGAGATATGTTGTACTGTGTGTATGGAACTGTCAAGAATGAAGAGATATGTTGTACTGTGTGTATGGAACTGTCAAGAATGAAGAGATATGTTGTACTGTGTGTATGGAACTGTCAAGAATGAAGAGATATGTTGTACTGTGTGTATGGAACTGTCAGGAATGAAGAGATATGTTGTACTGTGTGTATGGAACTGTCAGGAATGAAGAGATATGTTGTACTGTGTGTATGGAACATCCAAGAATGAAGAGATATGTTGTACTGTGTGTATGGAACTGTCAAGAATGAAGAGATATGTTGTACTGTGTGTATGGAACTGTCAAGAATGAAGAGATATGTTGTACTGTGTGTATGGAACTGTCAAGAATGAAGAGATATGTTATACTGTGTCTATGCAACTGTCAAGAATGAAGAGATATGTTATACTGTGTGTATGGAACAGTCAAGAATGAAGAGATATGTTGTACTGTGTGTATGGAACTGTCAGGAATGAAGAGATATGTTGTACTGTGTGTATGGAACTGTGTGAAGAGATATGTTGAATGAAAGAGATATGTTGTACTGTGTGTATGGAACTGTCAAGAATGAAGAGATATGTTGTACTGTGTGTATGGAACTGTCTGTGTCAGGAATGAAGAGATATGTGTACAAGAATGAAGAGATATGTTGTACTGTGTGTATGGAACTGTCCGGAAGGTCTAGATAATTTTAACTATGAAAATGGAACACTCACGAATGTAGGGATATGTTGTACTGTGTGTATGGAACTGTCAAGAATGAAGAGATATGTTGAACTGTGTGTCTGGAACTGTCAAGAATGAAGAGATATGTTGTACTGTGTGTATGGAACTGTCAAGAATGAAGAGATATGTTGTACTGTGTGTATGGAACTGTCCAGAATGTAGAGATATGTTGTACTGTGTGTATGGAACTGTCAGGAATGAAGAGATATGTTGTACTGTGTCTATGGAACTGTCAGGAATGAAGAGATATGTTGTACTGTGTCTATGGAACTGTCAAGAATGAAGAGATATGTTGTACTGTGTGTATGGAACTGTCCAGAATGTAGAGATATGTTGTACTGTGTGTATGGAACTGTCAAGAATGAAGAGATATGTTATATAGTGTGTATGGAACTGTCAGGAATGAAGAGATATGTTGACCTGAGTCTATGGAACATCCAAGAATGAAGAGATATGTTGTACTGTGTCTATGGAACTGTCAAGAATGAAGAGATATGTTGTACTGTGTGTATGGAACTGTCAAGAATGAAGAGATATGTTGTACTGTGTGTATGGAACTGTCAGGAATGAAGAGATATGTTGTACTGTGTGTATGGAACTGTCAAGAATGAAGAGATATGTTATACTGTGTGTATGGAACTGTCAAGAATGAAGAGATATGTTGTACTGTGTGTATGGAACTGTCAGGAATGAAGAGATATGTTGTACTGTGTGTATGGAACTGTCAAGAATGAAGAGATATGTTGTACTGTGTGTATGTCCAAGAATGAAGGATAACTGTGTGTATGGAAAGAATGAAGAGATATGTTGTACTGTGTGTATGGAACTGTCAGGAATGAAGAGATATGTTGTACTGTGTCTATGGAACATCCAAGAATGAAGAGATATGTTGTACTGTGTGTATGGAACATCCAAGAATGAAGAGATATGTTGTACTGTGTGTATGGAACTGTCAGGAATGAAGAGATATGTTGTACTGTGTGTATGGAACTGTCAGGAATGAAGAGATATGTTGTACTGTGTGTATGGAACTGTCAGGAATGAAGAGATATGTTGTACTGTGTGTATGGAACATCCAAGAATTAGAGATATGTTGTACTGTGAAATATATGGAAGTCCATAGATATTTGGCTCTTTTCTGCAGAAGTGTGATGTACTGTGTGTTTCGAACAAACTTGAAATCCTCTTGCGAGCTCGGCTTAAGTCACCAAATACCACATACCACCTTTCAGTTCATTCGAGTAAAGACACGGTTCAATAGATATCATATACTTTGTTCTAAACTTAACAGATATATGAAATATATTATATTTATGCAGTTATGGAGCTAGTGCACTGCCCATGAAGATGATGACTTTGTTTTGGATCACTCTGGATTTGCCCCAATCGCATCAGATGCTCCAATATTTCACAACCTATTCGGGGTATCTAAACTTTGGTTTCTTTTATTTTTCCAATTCGTTCTATTTTAACTTTAATTTCTAATACAGTTTTGTGTTTATTTGTTCAACAAATCATCAGATCGAGTTAACAATATCATGATATTGAAATTCGTGCATATTGATGCCTTCATCAGAGGTTATCTTATGTATCCCTTATTGATTAGTACAAATGATACACCTGATGTGGTTCTCAAAGTCGACGCATCCGGCGGATTCCGCACTGCGTGCACTAATTTTAAATGTCTACACTTTTTGTGTGTTTAACCGTTTTTGTAGCTGCATACGTTAGTGACATTTCAACTTTGGAAATAATTATAGCCGTGACCTCTGGACTCCCTAAGCCTATTCTCTTACATCCGGTTTGACACCGAGTCGTGATTGAAGTGAAGTGTGGTATTAAAAATAATATCGTAGCGTGAAGTACTAAGGTAGTTATTAGCCGAATTCTCTATTCATTATCTGATAAACTAATGCAGGCATTAACAAAACCAACCCTACACCAAAACAATGGGACTTGTAGCCACTTGTAAAAGTGTAGCTGGAACAGGAATATTTGTTGTATTGATAGACAACATCTGCGTTAACAACGCATGTATTTGTGGTAAAATTCGTAAAATTTAAAACATATTACATAGAGGTAGTATTTTTTCATCTACTTACCAGCCTCAATTTGTTCGCCATTGACTGTATATTTTGCAATTTTTCTTACATCCCGTTGCACTTTGCTCATACGCATTGATAAATCTTCTATTTTCCTGTTAAATCTTTCCTGGCCATCAACGTCTGCAAATACCACCATTAAACGCTTGTTTTGTAAGGAAATACAACCAGTAACGCGACTGATATCTGTATTCAATAAGATATTTAAAAATGTCTTTAACATTCATTCATTCATATCGTTATTTCCTCCATAACTGAGGAGTACAGAAACATAGTAAACAAGCAGTGATTGATAAAGTGAGTGTACAAAAAGAAATCAGGGTGAAAGTGTGACAGAAAAAAACACAAGAAAAATAAACATCAAAGAATATAGGAGTTGTTTACATGATAATGATCAATAGAGTGCACAGATAAAAAGAAACTTAAAGGTGACAGAAAGCCAAAATCAATCAAATAAGTGCCGATGCTGCCAGAGTGTTATAAACGTATCATAAAAAACCAAAACGTGCTATTTTAAACAAATTTAGCGAGTTTGGTAAGTAAATTGAGTTTTTAAAAAATGCTGTTCTTCGGTCGATCTTACGAAACACAAAGGCCTTGACTGAGTTATCGCCCTTATCCGTGACGTCATATGTGACAAACGCTCTCGTTGCAAAAAAAAAATCCGCGCTATCTGTCAAGCAGGAAAATTGTAAACAAACGCCAGATGTCAACATGGTACAATGTGCAGCCCTCAATTGTAACAACAGTAGCAATCGTGGACAGAAAGTAAGTTTATTCGCTTTTCCCCGAGATAAAAAGCTTCGGAATGCGTGGAAAATTAAGCTCAAGAGAGACAATTTTTCTCCAAGCGACCACACCAGATTGTGTGAGAGCCATTTTGCGGACGACTGCTTCACCCACGATCGACGTCTTTTGGAATCACTTGGTTTCACACCGGGTCGAAAATCGTTAAAACCAGGGTCAATTCCCACAATTTTTGATTATTCGCCGAAATCAAGGCCTACCACTCCCATCCAGACCGAAGACAGCGGTACCAGTCCTGCCAATGCCCGGAATGACCAACACTTTCCAGTCGGCACAACTCCGAGCAGAAGTCGGTCTAGGCCTAGCACAGCAGTCCAGAAAAGACGACGTCTCGAGGTAAATAAATGCATCAGTTGTATTAACAATGGTAGTATTACGTAATATTTTAAAATGATAAGGTACTGTACTTGCAAGCAACGTACAATGTAATTATAATATAAGCTAATTTACGCCTAACCACAGTGAACTGTACAAGCTCCCCCCCCCCTCTTCCCGCCTTTCTGATATTACTGGCACATACAATGTATTCCACTTGTTTGTTTAGTTGTTTATCCTTTTTCTTTTTTTTGTTTGTAGATTTTGGCAGACGTAACAAATGAACAGCAGATTAGTACAAATTACACGTCTGAACAAATCAAGTACCATCCAAATCAGGTGCACATGGAGACACAGACTTCTGATCACGGAAGTACTGTAGATAAATGTGTAGGACCGGATGATCCACTAGAGACATACAATGTTGGCTGTCAGACGTCATAAAACCTAACAGTATGTACATGTAATATATACTATTATGGTATTCTCTGAATGCTTTTTGTGTACACATATACCAGCCCCTACCCCCTATCCGGTATATATAATTTCACCCAGCATATTTATGAAGGCCATGCACTTACATATACCGGACATGTATTTCTAGATCTCCTCTTGAAAATGGATTGTGATGCAATAAAATTTATGATAAAATACAGAAAAGTACATTTATATTATAATTCTTGGTCATTATATGTTTTCAAATTATATGACCATCTCATAGTGTAAGTAGGTTCAATATGTATTGACCGTCAAAGACTACTGAAATAGAAGTGTTAATAACATCATTAACATATAAAATTAGTTTCATATGAATTACACGGCTATTCAAATAATAGATGTGAATCAATAGATTGGAATGTTCAGGCAATATAGATTATTTTAGAGTTCACAGCAATTGATTAATATTTCTTTTTTTCTCCAGAAACGTCGTCATGTTAGTCTACAGACAAAAAATATCAGAAATGAAGACTTCAGTTACATCTTGTGGGGTACAGGCCACATGCCAGACTGTGTCTACATCCATTCAATGCCACAGATACAACACCACCCAGAAAGATAGGGAAAATTATTCTGATGATGAGAGTGACATGGATATTTCTCTACCAGATCAGGACAATGATTCAGAATGGAGTCCATTAGAAGATCTGGAGGAGTATTCAGATTTGGAAGACAATGTCACAACAACACATGAATTGGACAGTGAGGACACAGATCCAGACAAAGCGCACAAGTATGTTGTGTTTGAACAATGTCTCTTTGAACTGCTAGACATATGTGCTGTCTGCAGCAAGAGAAACTTGCAACACATCAAAACAACAGTTGGTACTTGTGTTTGTGTAACAAGTAGATGTGTCTGTGGATTTATCAGAAAATGGCGGAGCCAGCCATTTTCAAATTCACTGCCCTGGGGAAATTTGGTGATCGCCTGTGGGATATTTTTTAGTGGGAACAGTCCTGTGAAAACATTTAACTTTATGAGCCATTCAGGAATTTTAGGTCTTAGCCTAACTGCATACAACAAACTGCAGAGGACCTACATTGTACCATCCACATTATCATGCTGGCAACATCAGCAATCAGTATATTTAAATGACATCAAAAACAGTGGCAGTTCCTTGAAACTAGGTGGTGATGCCAGATGCAGTTCCCCAGGACACACTGCAAAATACGGATCCTACACACTCATGGATGTAGAAACTGCCAAAGTGGTGGATATTCAGCTTGTCCAGGTAATTAAATGTAGACTTTTTATATGTATGCATTTATTAATCAATATTATGGAAAGGGAGAAAACTGTTTTAAATCTTTTTTCAGTTCATTAATACCCATGTTAATTACATTACAGTCAAATGAAGTGAAAAATTCATATGCAATGGAACTGGAAGGACTGAAGCGCTGCTTCCAATTCTTAAAAGATAAGGACATACCAATATCTGATTTGGTGACTGACAGACACTGCCAAGTCAAAAAGCTGATGAAAAGTGACCATCCAGACATAAACCATTGGTTTGATGTTTGGCATGTTGCAAAGGGTAAGCACTTACTTGGGTATGTTTCCATGCATTAATTGCTAGCTATATATAGGTGGGTTTTTTTTCATTTCACCTGAATTAGCAATACGCCCATGCTGGGTAATAAGCCCCCCCTCCCCCCCATCACCCCGCTCCGTACATTTTTAGTCAGTTACTATCCATGACTCTAGAATATATATAAAAATTAATAACTATTAAATTGCTAATGAATATTTTACAAAGGTGTCTACAAGAAATTAGAAGCTCTTGGAAAGTCCAAGAAGTACAAAATGGCTGGAGAATGGGCCAGATCCATAAGCAACCATGCTTATTGGTGTGCTGCTAGCAGTGGAGGGAATGCAGAACGACAAAAAAAAAAGTATCCTGAACCATGTCACTAATATTCACGAGGGGCATGGGGATCTTTTCCATTCATGTGAGCATGGGGACATCTCAAGAAAGTGGATCAAGCCAGGTAATTATAAGATACTAATTGAGATTATAGATAATAAGATTTTTATGGTAGGAGTCCAGCGTTAATAAGATATTTGCCATTGTCATATGAAGAATTTGTAATATTTTTCAAATAACATGCTTCTTTTCTAATTATACATATTACTCATTAAGTATTTTTACTTCTGCCCTTTTGTTTCAGGAAGCAAAGTATTCCGGGAAATGGAAAAGATTTTATGTGGGAAACTCTTGTTGAAAGATGTTGGAAAGTTGTCCCCAGCACATCAGACATCATGCTTGGAATCCTTCCACAATGTGGTGAACTTTTTTGCACCAAAGGCCAGCCATTTCTTTTACATTCAGATGAAAGCAAGGTGAGATATACTCATAAAAATCTGATGCAGTGCTGATAAAAATGAAACAGAAATACATCACTATGGTCCTGATATGATACTGTATTTATCCTGCAATAAGCCTAGGGGCCAGTGTCTAATATTTGATCAACAGATTGGGGGGGATTATTGCAGGGATATAGTTTGTATAGGACAGTGAATTTGAAATCTAAGAAAAAGACATGGATGGGCTTATTACTAGGCGTGGGCTTATTACCTGATAAATACAGTACCATAATTAATACATTCACAAGATATGGTACCTTATTGAATACTGTTCGTTTACAATTCTGCACAGACTGTACTACCATTTTTCAGACTTTGCCTGGCAGCTCTTCATTTCAACTCAAATAGTTGTAGACCACAAGCAACTCTGGAGGATGGGACTGCCAGATACAGAATTGCTTTCCCAAAAGGAAGAAAAGGGGATGCAGTCCCAAAGGAGATTAAAGTCAAACAGAACTTCAGTATGTTTATTTTATTTACCTGCATTGATATTTTAACAAAAAAATTAATGAGAGATTTTAAATATAAAAGTATATTAATATCATCCATTTTATTGACGTAAATCATTTTTCACCGTTTTATTTTAGATAAATCTAAACAATGTTTAGAGAAACTTACTGGTATTTTATAACATACCAACATAACTACCTGGTATAACAAATTAGATGGCAATAACAAGACACTTCATTATGACTGTGACCATTCAAGTTTTTATTGTTCTTGTTCTGCCTTAAACTGTTAATGTCAACTTGTCAACAGATTACATCAAAGAGTTGATGGAGGAGGTTGTAGTCAGAAGGCTACAATTCACAACCATCCAACAGGCTGAAGCAGCTCTTTTTGAGGAAATGGATGCTCCCCCTCCTTCCATTGCAAGTCAACTCCGCAGTGCCATGGGGAATTTTGACAGAGATGTTATCATCCATAACAATTGTCAGAGATTTACGAGCTATGTCAGAAACGAGGGTACTTGAAACCAGTATATTGTTGTGATGGAAATTATTTCCGTATGGCAGTCACAGCACATGATGGTATGACCTGTCGATTTTTCCCCCCAGAACTTTCCATGTCCACCTGATGAAGCGACGATATGCTACAAGCCGATACTTCCTGAAGTGACAAAAATTGTTATCAAATT